AAACAGACACACCGTATTCTAGCAACGCAAATTTTATAATACTGCTCTAAGTTTACACATTGACAGATATTAAACCATACTTTTACAGGCATATGGGGGCCCTGGTAATGGCAAGTCAGATATAATATATATGTGCTATAGTACTGTGCCACGAATTGTATATACGAATAACAATTGAGTTAAAGCTGTTTGTATCTATTGTTTTTAATGTTTTACCAGTGAGTTCATCTCTGAATAATACCAATCATTGACCTTGTGAAGTTCAGTATACCAAAGATAAGAATACTCCATACACAATTTAATAACTCTTTCAGAGCTAAAATTACTCTGGTACCTGGATGTTAATTCCTTTGACTTATTAAAGAAATTGGACTATTGCAGTTTATCAATACAGGTATTGCGTTACATTTTCATTATTTCATACCATAGGATGATTATGTATGTTTTTTGTATACGTTTACAACTACTGTATTTTAGCATACTATAATGGAACCATTGCATAGCAACACGGTATCGAAAATACATAATTGAGCCATTAATTCACAAACTTCAGCCACTTTTCACTTTCATATTCTGCAGCAGCTCTTTAAATTTGCATTAACCATAATAAAAAGAAAATAGTATTTGCAAAGCTATCAACTCCCATTTTAGTTTATAAAAAAAAAATAATAAGAGTAAGTTAACAACAGGTGTGACATGTATTTAAGGGGCACAAAAGTGTTTGTACTTGCATGTACTTCCACACAGACACATCATAGCCACCCCACCCCCAATACTTACCCCTTCATACCTCTATGTGAGGCCACTCATATATGCAGACTAAGGAAAACGATTACATGTAACAGTGTATCCATTACTTCGTTTCGTTTATTTCAGAATTCTTTCAAGGTTTATATTTAATTTAAATAGCTTTTGACAGTTTCATCCAAGCATGTCACATATCTTTATAATATGCACTATTCAAAAACCATACCAACAAAAAATTATTGTAAACAATTTGAGTACAATCCAAAATTGCATTGAAAAATTGTTCGACTTGGATAAAATTCAAATTACAGATCCTTAATTAATGGAAAACACAACAATTTCTGTATGTTTCTGTATGGCTTACTGCACAGAACGTAACATCTGAGTATATTAGTACAGGGCATTTGCAATTTGGCATGTTAATAAAGATAGACTGGAAATTATTCGAGTTAGGCAAAGTCAACTTAGACAAGTTCAATATAATTATAATTAAGCCCTGAAACTTATTTGATATTTTGATTAAGAATTCTAATGGATAGTGGTATGGTTCTTCACTCTTCTTGTGTCATACAATTTGTTTCCTCTCCGAAGCCTGACTTTCATATAGGGATACATAAAGGTGTTGAATATTACTTTCAATGCCATATGACTTGCATAATAATATGATACTTTCCTCCATAATTTTTATTTTACTAAATCACTTCTATTGATTGATTTGCCATAATTATCGATCTTCCATACCACAGGATCAATTTTATTGAAGTGATATAATAGAATGTTTAAGAACATTATTTACTTAATTACTTTTCAAGGTTCTCAGTACAATGCATGTATCCCACTCAAATTTATAAATAAAAAGTATACAAAGGCCTATTACATCTCTGCTGCTAATTACAACCATCGAAGACAAATATGTTATAATTTGGAATGTAGAAATTGTGGAGCAGCGCTATAATTTAGTGGTTATGATGCTAACCTTACAAATCCAAGGTGCTAGGTTCAATTCTGGCAAAAAAAAATTTTTCACTCAACAAAACACATAAATAATTTAGTTATAGAGTATTAAGGTTTTAGTTTATTAGCTTCACTGGTATGGATTGATCGCCCTTGTTAAATAATAGAGTATTATAACTCCAAAAATAGACTATATGAACTTTTCTAATGTTCTTCATAAGAACATCTCACCTATCGTAAGGCCATACATAACAACAAGATGGATGGACAAAATGTTAAGCAATTCCAAAACCTTTAAAATCAACCAATATTGTTAACAAAAACACACATTAACCAATCCAATTAGATGTATATTAATAGAAAAATAGTAATGTGTTACACCAGGGGTCCCAAGTCTTCCGGAACTCGTGGGAGTTTCCCCAAAATCAGGAAGGTCTCTCGCACTCCCGCAAGCAAGAATCTCCCGAAAATTAACCCATCTTGCAAATTCATAATTTTTCAATGCTTAATTATCAAGTTTCTCATGGAAGTCTGTCCCGATGTTTATCACTTTGATGGTAAAACAGCTCATTAACCAGATCAGTGGCGGATTCAAGGGAAGGGAAGCTGGCCCGCGCCCTAAATATTTCAAAATTATAAAAAAATGGGGTAGAAATTAAAATTTTAAATTTAAGGGCCATTTCCGGTCTTTAATCATAAATTTTTCTTACCTCAGCTCCAACCATGGTGGCAGTGGCGAATTCAAGGGAAAGAGGGTAGCCAGCCCATGCCCAGCCGGCCCACCCCCAAAGCCTCATAAGTTTTTCAAAATTATGAAAAAAATAGAGAGAAATGAAAATTATATTCAAATCTAAGTCTGTCAGTGCCATTTCCAACCATCTAGAAGTGCCGTAATCATAATTTTTCTTACCTCAGCCCCAACCATGGTGGGGCTGATGTGGTCTACACCCTCCATCTATGAAAGTCTCTCTCTGCCCCCCACCCCCTTCGTACCCCAGCAGATTTCCCAGAAATGACTTCTTCCAACTTGGGACCCCTGGTCACACTAAAGAATTAGAAATAATTTATTGTATAAAAATGCCCAAAAACCACAGAAATGTACATTTGAAAGACAGTTTAGGTTTGTATAAAATACTTTAAGCTAAAAATAATCTAGTGAATGTTATTCATATTCTATTACGGACCAGAAAGGTCCAAGTATCTAGCCACTGTAATGAATGTAGCTGAGACATGCTTAATGATTTATTACCAAACGTTAAAGGACGGAAGTTTAAGTAAGTTATAAATACTGATGTACACCAAACGGCCAGCAGTGACAGAAACACATTCCTTAAGTTGGGCGACCTGGAAAAAATGAACAAAAAATTTATGAAAAAGTGTATGTCTATACCAGGTAAAATTAGCACTTATTGTATCTGTAGGCGACATAATCAAATATTGTATTAATTTCATCAGTGGGAGTCTATGTCAACATGATTTATTTTCTGTTCCATTTTGTCATGTTAATGTCTGTAGAAATGGTTTTATTTCATTATTATCTACTTTGATGATTTTGTTGCAAAATGTTCTAAAATTGATCTGTCTTCCAATTCTTTAAACATGTTTAAATGTCACTTATAATTATATTTCTCATTAGTGTTGTGTGTTCTGAGTGTAATTTTAATTCATATACATATATATAGTAATATTGACAATAATGATAATTTTTTTTAATAGTTACAAAAAAAATGTTTTTGATATACTATATTTTAGATGTTTATTATAGCAATTTTCGCCTATTAGTTGGAACAAAGCATTCCTGTCAGACGATTCTTTGATATAAATAAAATCTGTCAACCAGAGTGTAGGAATCCAAAAAAAAAAAGAAAAAAAAGATAAACCATAAAATTATCAACTACAATTTCAAACAAGATAAAACAATTTTAAATTGATTTATTAAACAGTAAACAAAAGTAAAGTAAAGTTTAACTGAGCACATAAAAATATGACACTATATGTGGCAACAGTTCTTTCCTTGTTTTATTAGCTTACCTTAGAACATGGATGTATATAATTTCAACTGTTACAGCTAACAAAATAATTTTAAAAACCAAGGCAGATAGGTAATGATGTAAAAACAATGTCCTGTCCATGATAAAGAATGGGAGATAATGGAGTAACCAACCACCAAACAGAAGTATTGACGATTGCAACATCCTCTCCCATTCAGCTAAATAGAAAGAGAAAAAAATATTGCAATTATGTTTAAAGATATGGAAATAATATGTTCTTTAAAAAAAATTTTTTATATCATCATGATCTCTATGATATGATCATCGTACCATCATCGCCATGACAATGATCACAATGATGATGATTACCATGACAATTATCATGAAGATGATCCCTGACAACCATCATCATGACAACCATCATAATGACAGTCAACATCTTAATGAAAACCACTATCATAACAATCATCATCATCATGATCATTATCAGGACATTATTTTCAATTACAGTACTTGTATTATTTTATTACATACAGATGGAAGAGTGCAAATTTTAAGAAGCTTGTAAAATGTCTTATTTAAAATGTTCTCACATATCAAACTTTTCTTAAACAAACTCACACACATCACAAATACTCTTGACCAATCAAAAACTTTAAAATCTATTCCTCAGAGTCCAGTTGTTATCCTGTCAGGAAGCAAATTAAGTCGATTTACAACCAAAAATAACCAAACGCTATTTTTTTTTTGAAAGTGCAACGAAGAACCTGAGCTATTTCTTAGTACTTTTAATGAATAACCAATCCTTAGGGAAGAATAACAAATATGTACCTGAGTGCAAAGTGGCATTAATAACTATAAAGCTGATAGCTATACGTAACATAATACAATGAGTACAATTTCAGCAACAGACATAGTTTGCCTAGAGCTAAATTCACAATATATCAAAAACTGTTTAACCCCTGAATATTTTATTACTTGTTTCAAACTATTTTAAATGTAAATTATTAAAATTGTACTCAAGAATATTTTATATGTAGAATGTTTTATCATCAATTTCTCAAAATTTTATATCATACATACTTGAATTGCATGTATTCGTCTTTTTGTGGAACGGCTCATCACTCGAGAGCCAAATGCTTGGAAGAAATGAATGAAATGAAATTCTTCATAATATTTATCCTTTCATTGCTGGAATAAAGTCTCCCTCAAAAAATTAAAAACCGTTTATCAATCTGTTACACAACTATTTACATCACCTGATAACATAACTCCAAAAGTGCAGTCTTTCCAATTAAATTTATTTTTGCACAGCAGTCGATTGAATTGGCCTTAGATTATGTTAGTGTATAATTGTCAAAATTTTGCCCAATTCAGCTCAACAAGTTAAATATAATAATTTAAAAGATTGTACTTCAATACCGGTAACAGAAACATATCATGTTGTCTACATAATAATAATTGGAAAGATATGTTATTATGATTTAAGTTCATAGGAGAATCTATTTTAAATAACAATAATGTGCACAGAAGCAGAAAACTACATTTCAACCACACTAAAAAACAATGTCTTACAGTGTGACTCAAACAGCAAGTATTATTAGACATCATAATATTATTTTCCCCTTATTTATTTTACAAAAAAAAATGTGTGTACTATCCTTCATAAAAATTGTTGACATGATATTAGAATTACACACTTTGCTAATTGCCAAAACTATATATATATATATTTTATTGATACTTCCTACAACCAGGTTGTATCTAGTTTTGTGCGCCATGTGGCAACTAATTTAATGTTATTATGTTATCCATTCTATATAAATTCAGATGGCCTCAATGGCTTATATATAAAGTGTACTGCTGATGTGGGGCCAGTAGGGGCACAGGTTGCACAAGCCTCCCGTTTTGCCACTAAATTTTAAACTTATTTTATGTATGGAAATAAGCCCTACTCGCTTATCTAATCTGAAAATGCTGTTTCCCCCTCCCCCTCCCTGTTTGAAAAATTCTGGATTCCCCCTGTATTGTGTAATTTATGGTTTGATTTCAATACTAATAAGATTTGTATATCTTTCATAAATTTGTAAACATGATATTGGAATTATGATTTACTAATTTGAAGCTAAAAAAGTATAATTCCATATTTCCTACAACTAAGTTGTATCTGTTCTGCGTACATCGTGTGACAGATTAGCGATGGTTATTATTCTTCAGATGGCCTCTATGGATGGCCTATTATGTACAGTGTATTATGCAATTATGATTTGGGATAGTCTATTCAATATCAGTAATATATAGTATTATGTACTGTACTATTCTCCATAAAACTGTAAACATGATATTGCAATTATGTTTACTTAACTGTGAAGTTAGAAAGTACTTAATATTATTTCCTACAACTATCCAGGTGTGTGTAAATCATGTGACATGATAGGGATGGTATAACATTCTTCCTATAGAGTTCAAATCATCCATACAAAATCATCTGTATGAAATTTAAAAAAAAACACCATATTATTTCATTAATTTTATGAAGATTATATTACATAAAGTATGTTAAAATATAATAATGATATATAATGTAATATAAAAAATTAAAATTATTCTATTACCCATTTTGAATTATATTTTATGAAAATTGCAAAATATATGAAAAACTGACAAATAAAACACAAAGGTACTGAAAAGAATTTAAAAAAAAACTTTGAAATGGAAAGATAAGATGGAAACATTACATATTATACCATCATGACCACATTTAATAACAAATAGAATGTCTCTTTTATTGACAAATTATTTTCATTCAAACACCTGTTTGACTTAACATCGTGGATAAATAAAATATAGAATTAATTAGAAATTTAATTTGGAAACTCTCTAAATTGGACTTTGTATATTGAGTAGATTACAAAAGACTAAGAATTGTAAACATTTCCAGATCACTATCACTATTTAAGGAGTCAACATATTGATTTTAAAAGAAATTTCACCTGTTTAAATACAATAATTATCACAACAATGTTGAAAAAATTGAAACATATTTAATATTAAATATAACTGAAGTATATAAATCTACATTCTGTTTTCTGATCTCACATAAGTACATGATCCTGTCACTGAATGATCTGTCCTACAACAATTATAATACATTTAACTCTTTCTGTGGCATAGGCCTACATTTAAGCATTTCCCCACTCCGATTAGTAGAGGTAAGTTATTTTTCTAGTATGATTTCTAGCACAGCTATAGTAGTTTTATTCAAAGCATCTATTAAGAGTTCTTGCTTAAAGCTAATAATATGTGTAACTAAAGTTTTTGACATAATTTATTGCAACAAAATAACAAATGATAGACTTATATGTATAATATATTTCAAAAAGAAGCCCAATCTTGATTAGAAGGACATTGGCTGCTTTCCGAGCCTTCTTGAAAATAATCCATTGAGCTTCTTTTAGAGGTTTCATGATAGCTTTAAATCACATACAATTGGCCTACAAAAATACAAATACATAATCTTGTGGATGTTACTGTTAACTCTTTCTGTGGTGTAGTCCTACATAAAAGCTTATGGCCTATATCTGATTAGTAGAGATTAGTTTTTTTTAAGTATGATTTTTAGCACAGCTAGTATTTTTTAGATTGATTTTGGCTTTTACACTCCTGTCTAAATTCTTGAATGAACACCGTCCCAAGGCCTTGATGGGAAGGTTGTGTAATGTATTAGTGTTACTTTTATAATGGTGTACATCATGCACCTTTATTCCTGTTTGTCACTTTGCCGAATATTCTTTGAAATGATAATACCTAAGCGCTTTTTATTCTGATTCAGATCATCAAAAAAGGAAAATGATGCGAATATCGGTATTGACTGTTTTCATATTCACTTCTGTCCTAGCACAGGTATGCGTAGGAAAATTTGACCAAGATCTAAAGCCGACCAACGTTGAAAATGAAAATTATAATATGAGAGATGCAATGTCATTGAAGGAACTACTTGAGGCAGCGACTGCGAATGTGATGAAGAAAGACAGAGGGGTCCCGGAATGTAACAAGTTAACCTGTCTTACTGAAGCTTGTTGTCCATTCTTAACTTAACTTATTCATCTGTGGTTTCATGTATAGAGGACTAAAACAGTCATTTACACCACACGTTAGGCTACACTAAAGATTTGTTTGTGGTACTTTTAGTACTGATAATGATATTCAATTAGATTAGATTTGCAGCGCTTCGTATCTGCAACGAAAGGCGCTTTACAAATGTTCTGATTGGATTGGATGCCAACACATTTAATTATAAACTAATGGTATTAAGTTCTTTTGAGCAAGATTTATCTTTTATCTAGGCCTATCAAAATACCAGTAATATGAGAGAACAACAATTAAAAATGTTTTGTCACTGAATGAGAAGCTTGAGGTAAGATTAAAAATGATAAATTGATGACATTTTACGCCAGGTAAAAACCACTGTTTCTAACGTTTTATCACGACCGATAATGAAATATTATAGTATCTTGTAATAACATGAATTATGATAATAAACATATCTATTAAAGAAATTAATTAGCAAAAGCAGTGTTCCATCCTTATATGGTTTCATCCCACTACTAAGTATACCTAAATCTGTGTAATTTTTGGTTGTTATGCAAGTAAATCTTGAGATGGGGGTGATGATGTTGCCGATGATAATGATGATGGTGTTGACGTGATAGTTGGCAGTTATCTACTTGTTTCTCTCTACACATTCCAACCCACTCAATACGTTAAGTAATTTGAAAACCTGAACGTAACACACAGGATCGTGAGCATTCATAATTGGTACAAAGTACATATGTAGCGTATATATATATATATATATATATATATATATATATATATATAGTTGTATCCGATGTAGTAGGTTCCACGTATGTCTCATACGAATATATAAATAAAAGTAAATACGAAAATGAAGCGAT